TTCTTTCTTTCTTTCTTTCTTTCTTTCTTTCTTTCTTTCTTTCTTTCCTTTCTTTCCCATCTATCCTTCCATCTATCTGCCAAAGTAAAGGAATGATGATTCATCTCATTCACAGACAAAGTCTTGGTAGCAGCAATAACTTGCTAGCCTTTGATACTAGTCATACTCCAACAGAGCTCTCTTGATGTTCCTATACTATCCTTCCCACCCCTTCCCATCCACAATGCTCTCCCCCAAAGCACAAAGGTATCCTGACCTGTTCTCTTTGGTTCTACCTTCCTCACTCCCTACTGGGCAGTAGCTTCATATTTGCTGTTTAGCTCCACTTTTCTTTCTTCCACTCTTTCCTGGCTCAGTGGCCCAGTCGATAGACTGCTGGGCCTGGAGTCGGGAAGACCGAAGCTCAAATCTGGTCTCAGACACCTATTAGCTGTGAGACCCTGAGCAAGTCACTTAACCTCTGTTTACCTTAGTTTCCTCATCTGTAAAAAGTCATGGATACCTGGACAAATGTTCTTAGCTCCCTCACCATCATAACTCACATTTTAAGAGCACTTTAAATTGGACAAAACATCATTCTAATAACACCGCCCACCTCACAGTGGGCAGTGAGAACATTGGTTTACATGATTTACAGGAATCTGAGCTTCTAAGAGGTTAAGTGTGCGGGTATGTGTCTGGAGCAGTCGGTGTCTGAGGTATCTAGATCCCTTAGGACATGATACTTTTCAGCTATTTAATAGGGCATGGGGCAGAGGTCTGAATTAGGTGATCTCTGAGGTCCCCTGGGGAGCTAATACCCTCTCTGCTCCAACAACCCGCTTTCCCCTGACACAGCCACCTAGCATTTGGATAGTGCTGTGCTGGGCCAGTCTCAGAACCAGCTGCCTCTGCCCATTAGGAAGACAATGATGAGGTGGTGATGGGGAGAATGGTGATCTCCATTTCACAAGAGAAGGTATGTGCTCAATGTCACATAGAGAGTTAGTGTCAGAGCTGACATCGGAAGCCAGGCTTCCTCAATGCCTGCCCACATTCTTTCCAGAGCTGACCCCTCAGAAATGGCCAGATGCCCCCCTGTTCTTTCACCCCAGTCCCTGGTGTCCCTGAGGCTACTCACTTGGTGTTCTGTCAACATAGGACTGGAGCCACGTATAAAGCCATGGTCTTGTTCCATCAGCTTCGAGGTCAGGTCTTGTTTTTCTTGTCCCCAGTGCCGAGCTGAATCTTCCAGCTATAACCCCAGATAGGGATGAATAGGAGCATCAGGGCTGCTGGGCTCGTGGCAGAGGGGGCTGGCCAATGGGGATGCACAACAAGTGGGGACTCTGGTGCTTTTTCAGGGGCGACCCTCCCTCCTCCCCACCTAGGGCAGGCATTAGGGCTCATAATGGCAGCTGGGGAGGGAGACTGGGCAAGGGGAGGTGGGATTCCAACTCTAAATCCCATACTCCTACGATTTTTTGAGCCCATGAAAATGGCTTTCCTCCAGGTTCTTGGAACCATGGGCTCCATTCAAGGCTCCATTAGTAAATAATTCAGTTTCCCTTCAGTTGTATTCTGTTTCATATATCATAGGACTGTAGATTTAGAGCTGGAAGGAAACCCAGTGAATCCAACCCCTTAATTTTTACAGATGAAGAAACTGAGGCACAGAGGGGTTGAGTGACTTCATTCCATTCTTTACCCTTGTCCTACAGTTCTGTAGAGCCTTGTTCTCCATGGACTTATCTAAGAAGACTTCATTGAGAACTTCAGGCCTCGCCTACCTCGCTCTCCAAAGTCCAAATGCGATTTTGAGCGCTCTCCAATTTGGCCATAAGATTGAATTTGTCTGAGGTGCTGGAGAGGAAGTCCTGTTGGCAAAAGCACAAATCTGGCCAATAGGGGAACCACACTATTATGATCCCATTACACACCTGAGGCAAAATGAGACCCGGCCAGAGTAGGTGA